GTCCAGATCACATCCATAAGTCGGATATTAGCCCATATGTCCAATATCAATCTATAAAGTCCTTTTCAGACTCACAAAACACATGCAATGATGCCAAGTGCAGGATGATCACAGGCCAGTGTGTGCAAAGTGTTTTGTATCCAGTGGCGGTAGAAATATCTCAGCGCTGGCAGGGGCCTCCACGTGGCTCCTCCAGTTCCCAGGGCACAGGGTCTATCAGCATAGTGACATGTCGTGTCAGGGAGTGAGCCAAGAGAGAAGTGTCTCACCTCCAAGGAGGAAAATACAGGAATTCCCAGAATTCTCAGGGGAAGGCCATGCCCACACAGAGGCCTCATTGGCTATGACCCAACTGACAGACTAGACTCTACCCTGTCACTCTTAGTCCTCTCAAGTCCCAAACTGACAGCAGATTATGTAACTACCACACATACTTTAAAAACAAAAAACCAAACCCATTGCAAATAAGTCAATTCCAACCCCTAGTGACCCAGTAGAACAAATTGGAACTTCCCCTGAGTGTTTCTAGGGCAGTGGTAATCTTTATGGCAGCATCCCATTCCACTGAGTGACTAGTAGGTTTGAACTGCTGACCTTTGGGTTAGTAGCTAAGTGTATAACCGCTGCTCCACTAGAGTGGCTTCTCTTTCACACTTTACACACACATATTAAGTCAAAGTATCATAGACCTATAACTATTATGTTAGATGCCGTCAAATCATCTCCGACTCATAGCAACCCCGTGTGTAGCAGAACGAAACACTGCCCGGTCCTGCACCATCCTTCTGATTGTTCTTATGCTTGGTCTATGAGACCAAGTTTTGCCATCCTCACTTCAAAGGCGTATTCTGGCTATATTTCTTCCAAGACAGATTTGTTTATTCTTCTGGCAGTCCACGGTACTTTCACTCTTCCTCACCAATGTCATGATTTGAGTACATTCATTCCGCTCCCAGCTTCTTTATTCATTGTCCAGCTGTCACGTGCATTTGAAAATACCACAACGTGGGTCCGGTGCACATTTGTATAAAAAGCGACATCTTTGTTCTTTAGAACTTTAAATGAATCTTGTCCAGGAGATTTGCCTAGGCAAAATGCATTTGATCCCTTGACTGCTACTTCCATGAATATTGACCGAATACAAGCAAAAAATGAAATCCTTGATAACTTCAGTTTTTTTCTCTGTTTAATGTCTAATTTCCAGATGAAAGGATTTTTGTTTTCTTTATGCTGAGGTTTAATATATACTGAAGGGTGTAGCCTTTGACCTGCATCAGTAGGTGCTTCAAGGCCTCTTTGTTCTCCACTAGCAAGGTTGTGTCATCTGCGTATCACAACTTGTGTCATTGCTGACGATGTTCTCCCAGTCTGTGCACGCTCTTATTCCTCTCGGTGAAGCCTTTCGAAGACTTGGCACCTCATCAGACTCAATTGGAAAACATTCATAAGGGTCAGCAGA